ATTTTTGAAGGCCGCATTTTTTCTTGACTAAATAAATAAAATGGCCATAATATACAATAGGTAAAAAAAGTATTGGCATTCTCCCATTTTTATGCAAATCTCAACAGGATTAAGATATTTTCCAGAAATAATATTTATATTACAAACTGGTCTTTGAGGGTTATATTTTATAAGCAATGCATGTTCAGAATTCAAAAGCTATGTTTAAAATAAAAATAAAGAGTAAATTTCGAGGGTCGAAAAAGAATTGGCACAATTTTAAATGTTTAGTATTAGCTTCAGTCAAACCAAATTACTCCTTTTTCTTTCGAGAGATTAGATATGAGGATTGATGATAAAATAATGACAATAATATAAATCAGTCTTGGCTATGTATTTCCCATTACAACATGGCTAAACCAGTGAATATTGTGTCAGTTTAAAAAAAAAAAATCATTTAATTACATTTTAATGGACTTAGTAAACGACAAATACCGAATAAATTGGAAATTAGTTTAAGTAGTGTTCAGAATTTTGCATAAAAGCTTAGAAAATTTTAAATAAACTCCGTTCAGAACGGTCCCAAAATTAAATGAGAGTGCACAAAGATATCCATCAAATTGTTGAGCAAAATTGCACTTTATCAGCCACCAAAATAGGTCGCATCTACTTCAATATAATTCATATATATATAATATATACAATATAATATAATTCATATATACAATTATTATGGCAGGTTACAACGGAAAAAATATATTTTTAGTACAGAGGTAAACCGCAAAAAAAGACCTGAGTTGGCCAAAATTGAAGTTAATAAAAACTTCGAATTCTGGAAAAATGTTATTTCTTCAGACGAAAGTAAGATGAACATATTTCATTTTGATGATGAAGTACGTTTGGCTTAAATTTGATCCTGAGTTTTAAGCTCGACATTTGCGGTCCACTGTAAGACATCGAGGTGGAAGTGTCCCAGTTTGAGGAGGTATGCCATGGAATGGTGTTGGAAACTTAACCTTTATTGACAATATTATGAATGCCAACCAACATGTAGACATTTTGCGACATAATTTAACAAGTATAGCCGAAAATATGAGGATCGAAGAGGCATTTATCTTCTGACAGGAGAATGGTTCCAGGCACACAGCAAATAAAACTAAAGAAATGGAATGGAAAATATATGACGTACATTGGTCCCAGCCAATGGGAAACGCCACTACAGTCTCCCGACTTATATGCTATGGAACATCTATGTTGGATTGGATTTTAAAGTAAGAAAAATAAAATTTTCTCAAAAAATTATTTTAAAGAATCTTTGTCAGAGAAATTGCGTAAAATGAAAGAAGAAGACTACACGGTGTTATATATGCCAATGGTATGATGACAAAATATACCAGTATGATACATATCCATTTCGTGAAATAACCCTCAAATTAAAGTGTGCCAATACTTTGTTGACCGTGTAGAAGTGATTTTTCATGTACTGATTTTTTTACTTGAATAAATTTCGATATGTTTTTCCCAATTATGTATTTTTAAAAATTATTTATAAAATAGAAATGTTTAACTAATCAAGTTTGGATTTTTCGGAAATAGAAAAAGTTAGGTGTGCCAATACTTTTTTGGTCCACTGTATATATATATTGTTTTATCACCAATGGGATATTCATGCATTGTGGGTATATATAGATAGCTATAAAATGAGTGGAGATGTTAAATCCGATTGTGGATTACAAGGAAAACAGGAAATGTAAATAAATAATTCAAACAATGGTGAAAAGTTTATTAAAAACTTTATCTAAGGTAGAAAAAAAAAATGATTTTACCCTCCATTAAGTTATGTCAAAAATTTTAATTAAAAAGATAAATTAATTCAGTTCCCTATTAGTCCTGTAGTCGTGGAATTAGATCAAGACTTTTAAAGAATGTTTCATGATATTATAAATTAGTTGACAGTTTATAACACTACTTTCAAAGAAAATTACTTATATAACGTATTAATAAATAATGTTAGGTTTATTTTATTAAATATTGATTGGGATTTTACCAGGACAAGAGAATGATATAGAGAATCAATAATATACTGAACATAATTGAATGCCAACTGAATAAACGATATGTATTGTTATCCCAGCTACTAGGAAGATGTTTCAAATTATCCTTAACATCTACAAACTAACAAAGATAGAAGTATGGGGCAATACGAAAACTTACAAGATCCTAAAAATTCAAATTTTTCCAACAAAAGTCCATTATTTTTCTCAAAAGTTTTGAGAGTTCATTGTGACAAACGACTTGTTTCACAAAGAATTGCACATCCAAACGACTTTAAATACTACAACATAATACTATTGGGTTGGCAAATAAGTCCTTTCGGTTGTTCTGTTTGTTTTTATGCCACTATGATACATTTCTTATTTGGTTAATTAATCGCTAAGGTGGATTGTTTATCTTGTTTGTAATATGTCAAAAACTATATCTGTCAACTCTTGTTGAAATTAGATTAGTATTGTGTTTACTATTGTATTGTGAATATGGGAGAAAATATCATTCATTATTGGCATATTTTGTTATATTATTTTAAAAAAGGTAAGCGTGCTGCAGAAGCTCAGAGAAAAATTTGCAGTGCTTTTGAGGATGATGCCTTAACCAAACGCACCTGTCAAAATTGGTTTACCAAATTTCATTCAGGAAATTTTGACATCAATGATGTTCAACGGTCTGGTCGCTCACGTGAAATTGAAACGAACGATGTTAAGGCCATTGTTGATCAAAATCCCAACCAATCAGTTCGAGAGATTGCCATGGTCCTAAATGTGTCGCACACAAGCATAGAAAACCATTTGCACATTGCAGGCGTAATGTTTGGGTACCTTACTCTCTAACCGAAGTCAACTTGGCAACACGCACTTCTGTTTGTGATTCACTACGAAAACGGCAACAACATTTTTGAAAAGATTGGTAACATAAGATGAAAAATGGATATTTTAATATAATGTAGTCCGTAGAAAATCTTGGGGACCTAGTAGAATGTCAAAATCCGGATTGCATCCAAAAAAGATAATGCTTTCCATGGAAAAACACAAATATATACAAGAAATACTGAGAGAGAAAAAAAAGTGAATAAATAAAAATAAAATGACTCCTATCAATTAACTGCTGGTGACCGACGTAATTATATAACCCGGAAATTCCTACAAGGTTGCGGAAGTTTGAATTTTTAGTTAGTAGTAGAATAGGAATGGTTTGTAGGAGTTTATCGATATGGTTTGACGTATGGAGATGGGTAAGGAGTCTTAGAAGGAGGTAGCACGAAAAACAAAAAAGTTAGCAGTTAGTGGAAATATGGGAAAAATAATGGTCATTATATTGTAGATTAAAATAAGTTGTATTTCTATAATACATTGAGTTTTTTTTTTCACCCTATAGAACCGAAATGACTTATTTGCCAACCCATATAACAATTTTCACCAGAGACTCATTTACAATATAAAGCCATTAACCCGAACTCTTATTTCCACCACGAATCCTCCCAACATCCCACCCCCTAACCGCTAAAGGCGGTGGCTAAGAGATATATGTGTAATGTGCACAGATTTACTTATTGCAAACATTTACAGGTGACAAATTTCAAACTTGTGTACTTAAATAAAAAAAAAAAACACAACTTTAAATTGGTATTTATCGATGGTGTCTGGGAGTTTCGTAATCACTCTATTATTATTAGTTATGTTAGAGACAGAATTTGGGTCATATGAAGTTTTATGCTTTTTCCAATAATTGATAATGAAATGCTTCTTAAATGTTTAATGTGTGTAATTCTTTTACATGAATTTCTTTAACCAGTGTTTTTCTAACCATGATTTAAAAAAAATATAATCACCTTAAATCAGTCATTGTATATTGTCAACCAGTAGTGGGCTTTAAAAACCAAGAACATTACTTACAAAGTGACATAGAGAAGGTTGTATAAAAAAAAAAAAAAAAATACAAATCAGAAATATTTTTAATTCATCCCCATTTATTTTACAAATGACATAGAAATTTCCAATAAAACCATGTACATCGTTTTTCACATAAATAAATAACTCTTTTTACAATGTTTCTCAAAAAATAATAACAAAAACATTAACAAAAAATATCAATGATAAAGTAAAAATAAATAAATAAAGGAAACGTGTTTTTTTTTCGATGGTGTCGGAAATTTGAAATTAAATTTCAATACTCAACATCTTGATTTCTAACAAAACATTGCTTCGTATTTCTAATAAAGAAATAATTATCAGTAGGTAAGTTTTTGTTTTTATACACATGCACTATAATGAGTTTTTGAATTAATCCAATTAAATAAATGTGACAGTTAAATAAATATTCACAATATCAAATGTTTCAATTTACAAAAATAGGTTAAGATTTAATAAGAAATGTTAATTAATAGATGCAGCGTGTCTAATAGTTGGAAGAAATCGAAATTTTTTAAACTAAGCGTTGGTGATGAACATTAAGTAGAAAATATAAAAAGGAAATATAAAATTCTATGTTTTAAGGGTGCAATTAAAATATTCTTCCCTTCTAATCACATTTTTTACTGTTTGATTACTTCAGTCTATTATTTACCCAATCTTATATTAATGACTGTTATGCGTTAATTTAATTGATTAAACAATGGTTCGTTTTAGGTTATTACGCGGTAAGCATTGGATATTATGTTGAAATTTTTAGTACGCTAAAATTTGTTCACCAGATATTTTTACTCCGTATCATTTTCCTATTAATAGAGAACTGTATATAGAAAACTGTAAGTGTAACTATTGCACTACAAAATAATATCACATGTAAAATCGAAGCCATCCTGTACCAACGTTATTCCTTCCGCAGAAATAGCGGTTAGAAAAACTACTTCCTTCCATAATTTAGTCTTCAATCTTTTGGATTTAATGGAGGTAGGTGATAGAAAATGGCTTTAGTGATGATATATGAACACTGTATCCATTGAGTCAAGTTGAGCTCATTGAAACAGGTCATATTTGTTTGAGTTCTTTTTCCTTTTCCTTTTCTTTATCTTTTTCCAGTTCGATTATTTCGAATTTCACCTTCTTCTTTTCCTCTTCTGGATCGAAAATTTGGACGTCTTTAACGTAATACCATGCCGCTAGAGCGAATATCAACCCCACTGCCAGAAATCCTAAAACATAAAATTAGTAAATAAGTAAAGCAGTTTTATGCATCGAGCAATTATTGAGTGGCATGATGAGTTGAAAATGGTATCAATGGTAGGAAAAGGAAAAATGAAATAAATAATTTGTTGCTAGACTAACTGATTCATCAATTGTGTTTGTGTTCTAGCTAATATTAAATTATACATAATATTAAACATGTTTCTCTTATGTTATATATATGTAGAATGGGTGAACGATAGCTATCTAATGTAAGATTTCTTATTGGGGTGTACTATTCTCTTTTTATTTCGAGCCGAATAAAAAACTTTAATATGAAATACCAGCTTTAATAATAAAATTAAATAAAAGGTGGATAAGAAAGATACACCTGAATACGATCTAAAAACAATAGGACTAGAAACTATAGGCTCAGCATCTATAGCGATGGATCAGCCGTTAAAAATGCTGGAGCAGGGTTTACTCGAGGGAAAAAACAGTGATCCTCATAGGCTTAAGAATATTGTCTGGAAGGTAACACAAGAGTTCTCTTCATCGACTCTCAAGCAGTCATCTTCGCTGTTACTAACATGAACGAGTGCCTATCGAGTGCTGTCTTGGAGTTCAAATCCCTCCTGTATCATCTGTATATAGTGTATATATATATATATATATATAGAGAGAGAGAGAGAGAGATATACGTATAAATATACTCCGAGTCACCAATATGATTCTACAGTGGTTCCAAGCCATTACGGGATTCCAGGAAACAAGAAACTGATAGTCTTGCCGATCGAGGAACAGATTTACATCAGTCGATCCATCCAAAACCTTACGATTTAACTTATTAGCTTATGGTAATAAACGCCTTAGCGAATGGTAATAAAGGAAGAAGAAAAGCACAGAGAATGATCTCCACAAGATAGGGCCTGAGGATCGTAGGTGTGAACTATATCACCAAGGAAGAATGGATACAGACCACCTAAACATATGTCCTGTCTCGACGTCCACAAGAAAAAAGATATTTTTAAATCAATATATTAAAAATCTAATTTATACTGGGCAGAATGACCAACGATTTCAGTATAGGAAAAAAAATTAAGATGAAAACCAGTGTTAAAATACAAATTTTAAAGGTCGTCTAAATACCTAACCTGGAAATGAAAACTGGGTACCACTGGATAGGCCAGAGAGTAAATTTAAAACGAAGTACCTCCGGAGATTGGCAAGACGTACACATAGTGGTTAAATCAGAAGTAGGAGAAGATAAGATAGAAGTTGGAGTTTCCATCTTGAAGTATTGGAAAGAGGCAGCTAAAGAGATCCTTTCATCTTTATGAACGAAGACAGAAAGACCTTGACTATTATGGACTGAACACACTTCCAGGACAGAAGGGAATATGGAAAAGAATCCATGAAGGTATTGATGTAAAGCCGCTAATAGGTACAAAAGAAGAACATTAAGAAGTTGAAGATAAAATAGCATACATCTATTTCTTCTCGTTTGTATGAGAATATGCATAAATATTTTAAAACTAATATTAGATATTAAATAAATAAACTCACCTCCTGCGTTGACGTTAATGAAGTATCTCAGCTTTTGAGCATCGTAGAGCCAGCAGTTTCCTTTCGACGTACATGTTTTACCCCAGACCAAACATGTGCTATCTGTAATAGCATTTTTTGTTATTTATTCAGTTATTTTTATCTTTTAAAATATTTACAAATTCAAATACACCTACCTATAACTCTGCCGAAGAATATAGGCGCCGGGATCAACGCGAACACAGTAATCATCGTCATGCCGAAGCCCATAGCAACAGTTTTGTCTCGCTCTTCCACGCTCCTGCAACGATCATCATACAGTTAGATTTAGCACGTATAACATAGTACATAACAAGAGGATTAAACTCTAAATAAATGGTATATCAATTTAATATATATTTTAAGTAAATGAGACACTGATTGATGTTAAGCTATAATTAACAAAATATGGTAAAACTCTTCAGCCTTGGATATCAGTAAATAAATATATAATTATGTATTCGTTACATTTACACACCTCATCGATACAATGAAGTTAGATGTTTGCGCAGTGGCTCCTATCAGTTTTAAAATGCATACAACCACGAGGAACAATTTGAATTGATCACTGCAGTCGATTGGGCAGATGCCGGGCATTGCGATTTGAGGTAGCTGGACACCGTTAGCGTCGAATTCGTTGACGCATGCGCAGTTGGTGAAAACCTGTTATAAAAGAGAAGAGACATAAGATTAAGAATAAATAAGATTTACATTTTTTTCCTATGTCAGAGTTGGCATTTCTGCCATTATATTCCTTAGGCTCCAGTATACAGTTGCCACATTAATATGGCTAAATATATGATCAAGTGTCATTTCCTCTTCGTAGTTATGATTCAGCTGTTCTTATTCTGTTTAGATGGAGTCATAAATAGTCGTAGCGATTGGTTAGTAGGTATCGCCAAAGTTACTTTTTGTTCATTGAAATGTTCGTTTCGTATTCCTTAATTAAATAGCAGCAAAGAACACTTTTCACGTGATGTTTGTATAACCTTCTCTAGAGCTATAGATTGATATATATATATACATAAAAAGATTTATGAATTTAAAATTTAAATTAAAAAAAAAAGTTTTGGATTATTTAAGGGAATAATTAGTACCGGCTATGATAAATTAATAGGTAAAAAAAAAAATATATATTTCTGCTTGATGAACCACAAACAAATTTTCGGAGACGAAACATCTCGGTTTAGGCACTAAACTGAAATATTTGAGGTAGTAACGATAATTCGAAAAAAAAAATGCCATAAACCTACAAGAGTATTCATTATTAAATAACAGAAAATCCTTGGCGTAGGGAGGTGGCGGTCCCATCGCCCGGTCATTGTACCGCAACCAGCCACTGGCCCTCCAGGTTGGGGGAACACTTACACGAACACTCACACACCAAGTACACTTTAGACAGCACACTACAACACCTAAACACTACAGACAAAGGTCACCTACAGTACACACCCTAGGGTCACCTTCCCTAGGTAGCCGCCCCGGATGGGGGAGCTAGTCAGGATGCTCGGAGGAGGCAGCCCCTCTACCTGACTCGGGGGCAGTGGGCTGATAACCCACCCCCCCTAAAGTACCTTATTACGAAACCTCAAAGAGAAGAAGCCGGACTGAATTACGGTAACAGACCCAGGAAACGCCTAAATGACCTAAGAATTGGATTTTGGAACATTTTATCATTACATAGACTAGGAGCACTTCGTGCGCTCCTTGCAGAAGTGGACACATACAGAATCGACATAGCAGCTATCCAAGAGGTCCGATGGATAGGACAGGGAATTATGGAGAAGAAGTACCATACACTCTACTATACGGTATGAAACTCGTAATTATTTTATCTTCCATCAAGTTACCAGGCAATGCGGTACTGTGGACAAGCGTTGACCGCTCGGCCACCCCGCCTCTACTTTCACTTCCACACTTTTTAAGAAGAGGATAGCACTAAGATTTCTTGAGTGGTAAGGGAAATTCATGCGCCATCACTCTTGAGAGGGGATGGGCACCCCTTGTTGAGTGAGTTCAGGGGTTCCTATCTCCCCAAAGACGAAGGCGCAGGAATCTACCTCCCCTCCTTCCGAAGAAATTTTTGTTAGTCACTTCTTCTAAAAAACATGCAAGCAAAAGTAGAATTAGAAAAATCATGGATCATATACAATTAAACTTGCAGTAGTCTGGTCCATGAATTTTCTCTCATCAGCTGGATCATTCCAAAAATCCATAGCCCTGTTGAAATTTGCTCCCTCAAACATTCAAAACTGCATAAAAATGTCAATAATAACTTTGATGGCGGAGCTTGCTTCATGAAATTTCCTTTTGGGCACTCCATAGTGATTTATCGAAAATACTTCTTTGTACATCTTTGTTATCAAAACTATTTAGTACACTTTAAAATGACATTATCTTTTGCTCGAGATTGATGGATTTAAAAATAAATAAGTGCCTTACATTGGTGCCGTTGATGCGCATTGTATCGTTGCAGCCGGCGTGGCAGGGCGAGATGAAAGACTTGCCATAGGCGCAGACAGGGCTGTACTTGACGTATTCGCAATTGCAGGCAGCGTTACAGGCTTGGGTAGCGTTCAATCTGGAAAAGAATGTTGGTGAAACATTTAATTAATTAAGGATTATTAATGAAGCTATAGAATTTTTTAAATTGGATCTTCTTTAGGCGCGCTTAACACTTGTATTTTATGGATATTGAATGAGACTGAGTCGCCACGCGCTTCTATGTAACACTCATTTGGGTAAAGTCGACTAATTTTGAAATTTGGATTACAATATCTCAAAAACTAAAAGCCAGAACTGCAAACTGTGAGCAAACAGATTGTTAAGTATTTCATCCTCTTTGTAATGAGCTATTATTCAAAATTATATCTTGACATAAAGCCGTGATAGAGAGGCAAGAAGGGAAAAAGATGATGTAAAAAAACAAAACAAATTATAAAGTAATTTTGAACATTTGGATTAAAATATCTCAAAAACTAAAAATCGGATCTGCATACTGTAATCAAGGAAAATGTTCCGCATTTCATCCTATTTGTAATGAGCTATAATTCAAAATTGTATTTTACATTTTATATTGAATATGAAAAATAATTTGTACAAATATTTTGATCTATTGTGTTACATGAAATATTGTATTCGATCAAGAAAAACACAATTAATTCTTTCTTTACATAATTCATAAGATCTAATTATTTTTATATTATTTTGCTGTTGTTTCACTAAAAAATATATTCTGTGAATTATTCGATCGGGCCAATTAGTTTTATGTATTAAAAATTATAATTGTATTAATATCATCACATGTATAATTCAAATTATAATTCGAAAATTAACATGTATATATTATTATATCATGTAATCAATTTATAAACTATAAAAAAATTATAAATGTATATATTGTAAATGTTATTACTTTGTGAATATAGAACAAAAACAAAATCTATTTATCATATTATTAATCTTGTCTCATTGATGGTTTCATTAATGTAGTTTTTTTTTCAAACACGGGATACCAGGTAATAATTCGAGCCTTGAAATTAAAATAGGTCTAGCAGTTTCTTTAAAAAATCGTTACAGACCTACAAGCAATTAACCTTAGAACATTCCTCTCCTTTTTGGTTTCAATTTAATCGGATAATAGTTGAGGTTAGTTCGGTTATAATCTTGTCAAACTAAGGTAGAGATATATTTACTGAACCATCACTTACTCTCCGGAAGCTGAGATGTCTCCCTGTACATCATTGATGGCGCAGCCAAGTTGGTTGTAAACGATGAAGCCACAGATGGTGATGATTTTGACGATGAAGCCCCACATTGAGAGCGTCCTAGCTTTAGGTTTGAACTTGGAAATGAAGAACCCGCTTATGAGGATGCCGATTGCAGAACAGATGAGGCCGACGAAACCTATTCCAATACAAAAGGTGATGAAGTGAGTACACATTAATTAATCGGCTTATAAAGTTAATATATTATATTTTAATTTGAAGGAAAATTGTTTCGAGATTAAGGAGAGAGTAAGAGTAGCAGGAAGATGCTTCAATTATCTGCAATCTGCATGTGAAAGAAAGAAATTTCAAAACATATTATGGAGGTAGTATTTGGTTGTCCAGAATATAATGCTGAATTTTGGTTTAAAATGAGAAAAGAAAGATATACAACTGTTTTATTCAATCAAAAATCCATTACTATCAATACATTTCTGCCAACGTGTTGGCAACTTTTTCATTCCTTCGGAATAAAATTTCCCATCTTTAGAATTGATAAACCCCAAAATGCATTTTCTAATTATCATTATCCATTTCATTTTTTGTCCATGTGTCTACAAAATTTTTAAAAAAATTTAGTAAAGACTGAATTATTTCTGAGCAGCGAAATACTACAAAGGTAAACAAACATTTTCGTTTGGAAGAGGATTAATAAGTGTTGACATTCATACAAATGAAAAATCCAGTAAATGTAAACAATTTGGTAAATAGAGGGGTATTTTAAAGAAAACTAAAAATCTTGTATTATTTTTTTTTTGGACAACCCAGAATATAAAACACATTCCTTCCTGTACTGTCCTATGGAAGAAAATCTTGGGTCCTTATGACTAAACACAACAGTAAGATCCAAGCAATGGAAATTGGGTACCTGAGGGAGTTTGATGGAAAGACACTATGATTAGAGCGAGCCCCGGTATGATACCAATTCAGGCAAAATTTGGAGAATATAGCTTGAGATGGCTGACAGGTGTCTCAAATGTCTGACAATTGCATACGCAGAAATACTAATGAAGCTACTGCAGAAGAAAAAATATTCCAAGGAAAACTTGATATAAAGGATTGAAAGAAGTCTGCGACAGACGAGGTATGAAGTAGCATGTTTTAATAATATGACAGAGTAATGTTGGAGAAAATGGTTCTTGAAATTCTCCTGTTCAAGGAACAACACTGAACATATGGAAAAGGCAATTTATTCATTAAATTACTGCAATGGTGCTGCTATCTGTGAAGTGAAGGTGGTACTCCTTGCCTAAATGAACCAGGATTGGTTGGTGAATACAAATCAATTAAAAAATCAGCTAAATCAAATTCAAGTATTTTTTTCTCCTAATTAAATAAAAAACAAAGAGAATGGAAGGGAAGAGAATAAAAGGATAAATCACTTTAATCAATCGAACCAGGCTATCACAAATCATTAACAGATACCTGATTTCATTCCCCCATGAAAAGAAAGAAATATAAATGTTAACCATAATCAATGTTAACAATATTTCAATACAACTAACAATATTTTATCCTGATTTTGACCTAATTGCGACTACTTAAAAATATCTATGCTCTTATAAATCAAAACATTCTATTTAAACAGACTGTCCACTTGCTCATTCATACAGTCCACTAGCACTTAAAATCAGTGTACACAATTACATCCCATTCTCTCTACATACTTTGTCTCCAAAAATATTACTGGACACAAAACAACTCCAATTGATTCTGATGATTTTCTATACAGACCTTAGCCATACCATATAGAGAAAAAAAATTGTTACCAAGGAATTATTGAACGTTACTAAAAATGAAAAAAAGGTGTGAGTAAAATGTAAAAAAAAAATTGATGAATGCATAATAATTTACAAAAATAAATACTATAATAAATTAATGAAAATAACTCAAATCGTATCAATATGTGCAGGTCAGTGTGCAAGGATAGTAAGAATATAATAATAATAATAATAAGGATATTAAGAGTTTTAGATGGAAGAGGAATAGGAAGTAGATGAGTTTACCAGTAGCCAAATTGGCAACAGCTGCCGACTGCTTGAAGATGACCTCGAAGTACTTGGGCATATACATCCAGTAGGGCAGGTAGCCGAAGACATACATCACACCTCCAATTGTTTTGCACATCACCACTTTGTTTTTAAACAAGCGAATGAACGTTGCCATAAAATCTGAAACAGATTGAGAATAAAATATTTTACTAGATATATAAAGTATATTGCAATCGATATTATATTTATAATCTTTATGCTGTAAATAAAAAAATTATTAATTGATTTAAAATACTGACATTTTCTTTTCTTTCGTGGCTTGACAGCCCTTATAGGGCCTCCTCAACCACACCACTCCAAACAATCAATCAGTAGCCTCCCTTTTCCATTGTCCAATACCAGTCCTGTACAGGTCATCTTCCATTTCAATCAATGAGCCTAGGTCTTCCTTTCCCGTTTTTCCTCTTGGTTTATCATGTAATTTTTTTTTCTATGATCTATCTTCTCCCATCTTTCCTACATGTCCATTTAAATATACAGCTTGACTATGTCTAGTTCATTGTATAGTTCCCTAAGTTCTCTGTTATTCATTCACCCCTTGGTTACCTGTAGATACTGGCCCAAAATCATCCTTTCCCCCTCAGATCCAGAAGATTCCCTTGCATTCCTCGTTTCACCTGCATATGTGACAATTGGTCTCATTGTTTTGTAAATAAATACAGACATCAGGGCAAAGATAGTTTGGTATATGGTAAACCACTTTGGTATTTTGTCAGTTTATCTAACCCAAAATACTATTCTTCATTTTGGATTTTCGACTTTTTATTCTGAATCAACAACTTTAAAAACTTTTAGAAAATGAGAATCAAGTGAGTAACTTTCCTTTTCTATGTTTTTGTCTCATTTGAGATACGACATTAAATAAAATAATAGAAGTCATGGTTCCTTTTTATAATACTCTTAGAAAGAGGGGAAAATAACAAGTTGTAACTTAGAGCAACATATGGAATGTTATTGCTGATTTAGCTTAAAATGGCCATAGTAGATCGCTCTAGTTGTATGACATCCATATCACACACTTCATAATTCTATGATTCATGGAATAGTCAGCATAGTTTTCAGGGTTCATGAATTCCTAATTATTCACACACAGTCCGATTTATTTCAAATTTTGCGTAAATGTTCCTTGAGGTCTAGAAAAAAGATCTTTATATGAACGGGTTTGTAGTTTTTTATTCCGATCCAAGATAGTGGACGTTTTAATGCCATGATTATTAAAAACGTGTTTATTTCACAGTCATGACAAAATAACTCGTTTTATTTTTACGCTATGACATGAGTGCAAAAGGGAAAATAAAATAGGATAATTACAATAATAGTGATGAAGTTAAATTGTTTTTTAAATGAAAAAAAAATTAATTTAATGATCTATTTATAATTTTTTTGTTACCTCTAACTCAATTCCTGTCACTGATTGGCAACCCAAGCTAACACAAAAAGATCTTTTTTGTGGTCGTTGACAGAAGGGGAAGAGTCTGGACCACGGTTTCATGTTACATAATTCCACTGTAGTGTTGGTTATGTATTTTCCCTAACTCATCTTTATCAAGGATAAGTTTATTTCGTTCTGTTCCTAATGTCGAATGGTTTAAATCTTCTAGACCAATGTGAGATTAATACGTTTTAACATGTTCGTAAGTTTGGCGGATTCTGTGTTAAATATGTTTGAGGTCCTGGTTATGATTGTATTATTTCCAGACAAAACAAATCTTGAAAAAGAGCCAAAAGTTTTTTCATGAGCGAAGGCCTAACAATATTTCTTTTAAAATTAAAACTTCGAATAATATCTTACCACGCAATGATGCAGGCTCGTCTGTTGGCTCGGTCTTTTCTCTCATCTCTTTCCTTCGTGCGGCTTCCGGTAGTGTTCTCGGGAAGAGGCCGACCAAAGAACCAAGGATGAACATGGCCACTCCCAGAATGAGCCAACCTTTAAAAAAAAAATTATATCACAATTGTATGATTTAATATGATTGAACATTTCCAAAATTATTTCCTTCACCAACCTATCCAGAAAGCTCCCAACCATCGAGGGTCTGTGTTGGTGATTCTCGGAGTCAAAGATGGAGAGATATAGATGTTGAGGCAGATCGAAGCCAGTCCATAACCTATCACGTTACCGAACATCTTCAAGCACTGAGAAATACCTAAGAAAATAAAATAATTGGTTTGAGATTCGTTAATTTACAGATAATCTGTAAAAAATCAATATATGGACATCCACAAAATTATTTCTAAAAAAAATGGTCGTGGACATCAAGTACAGACCTAGCCAGTATTTCAAATGAAATATTTTAAAATAAAATGCATTTTTTGTAACTGTATTTTCTTTTTAAAATACAAAGAAATATTTGTATTTACTTTCCAAGAGACTAAAATACGTAGCAAGGCAGATTTTTTTAAAGGTTAATTGAGTTAAATTTGCTATACAATAATTTTCAACTATAAAATTGACAAGCCTTAAAAAATTATGCTGAACACCAGGGTATTTTCATAAGAAATTGGTACATTTTCTTAATTCAACTTGTAAAGGCAGGCAGACAGATGTTTAGTTAAGGAGGAAAACATATATATATATATTTTTAAATAATACTCTGGAATACTTTTTCAAGAAACAAGAAGTATTCAATTTATATAATGATTTAGTGAATATCTAAACAGATTAATTTAAAAAAACCTCACTTTCAAATTCAGGAATAATATTAATTGAATATGAAAATTTAATCCCATCCATTTTTTTAAGAAGAATATCCATTGTTTTATAATCACATAACTTTTTTCCAAAATTTATAGAAATATTTTTTTTTTGAGAAATGTGTTGTAAAGCGCCACTTCATGAGACGTAATTACTTGGTATTTGAAATACTTTTTGTGAAAAAATCTAAACACTTTGTAATTAACATAAATTGTATTTTAAAAAGAGAATACTTGGGATTTTAAATACTGCGTTTTAAAATAATATGTAAAATACTTTTTCCTCCGGTAGATAAGTTAAATTATATTACAAAGCTTTATATTTAAAAATTGCTTGACAAGGAAACATTCATGTTTTGAAGGAAACTAAATAACCTTTAAATAATCAAGAAATCATTGAAATAGATTTATAAATAGTGGAAATGATAACTTTTGATGGAATGTTCTTTATCTTTGATTCCTTGATTAAACCTTAATATTATTATTAGTTTACAAAAAAAAAAAAACTCACTGAAAAGAGCAGGAGACTTTGATTTTTTGGTATTGTCGTCCATGTATGATACTCCGAGGGTGCCAAAGAGAGACCCTCCGAAACCGGAAATCAATTGTGCCAGAAATAAGGTTAATGGTGGACCCCATTCGTTACCATCGGAAGTTTCGCATGTCACGGTAGAATTCTCCTGGCAGATTATCTTCTTATCTGTTGATCAAAAAAATCGGTAATATTAATAAATTTTGTACACAAAGATAATAATAAACAATTTTTATTGTTAAATATCACATTCTTCCTCAAATCAGGACTACAGCGATCAGATGGCAATGTTTTTTAAAGTACTAGTCCGTGGTGTTGGCCACCTTTTTTTTTTTTTTTTTTTTTTTATTTTGTGATCATATTATCTGACGATTCAGGTGGAAAGCAGATTTGTATTCATGTGTTTTTAGTACCTAATTGATTAGGTAAAGTTCATCGATCTTCATATTGAAAACGTCCCAATTTCGAGTTTTTTTATAAATAAAATATTTGTAGGTTACGATGAGATGAACCCATTTACGACGTTTTAGGCGGATATTAAGAATTTGATAAAAAGGGGTCTGTACCACGAACTATACGTACTAGAGCTCCCTAGAAAGGGGTTATATGGCGCAACCTGCGCCATTAAAATTTTTGGGGGCACATTTTGGCGGGATTTGAACTATTGAGGGCTGCTAAATTCGACGGAGTTATGAATTTTCGGAATGAAAGTTTAATCCAAGTGGCAAGGCGAAAACATGTAACAGATCACAGCAAGTGTAATTGTACATGAACTACGATTTTTAAAATTTTACTTTAGCTTGCACTGTTTTTAAGAAGAGGAGAACAATAAAATATCTCGGGAGGAGGGGGGAGTGAGGTTCCTGCGCCATAGACCTTGGGGAGAATGGACATCCCTGATATGTACATTATTGATTTATAGGTAAAAATTTATTATGGTTTCATTAAAGTTTAATTTAAATTTTTTAGTACCTTAAAAAAATACTTTCCCACCGTTGAATCTCGATTAAAAGCGAAATGGATCCTCTCGGACTATTGTATTTCACAATTTCTCACGAGATATGGGGATTTCAGAGCTAAACTTCATCTTCTCGGACAGGATATAGATCCCCACTGCCCCACTTGTGGTCCGTCCTCACTGAGGAGGAATTTCCACAGTTGGTGAGTGAAGAAAACTTCCCGCGGTTAAAAGACTTCATGAATGGGTGGAAGACGGCGGTGGGTCCAGTTCACTTCAACCTAGGTGCCCGCAGAAGGAGAAGAGGACCAGTCCCAGGAGGACCTCCGGATTCGGGAAGCCAGGCCTAATTTGCTGAAGAATGAGGAAAAGTAGAAGAGCTAGCTGTGTGCACAGCTTAGAATTTTGTAAACCGATATTATGGCAGTACTGTGTTATTATACATTAATGTTTAATATCACACTACTGCACACACCTGTATTGCTCTGATGGCATGAGAGTGTGGAAAAAAAATAATGGGTTCATTAGAGTGTTACATTACCATTTGAGTGCTCGGTGATGTTGTTCAGATTGCCATACTCGTACGTGAGAGAGATGGCATCCTGGCCGGGTCCGAACATGAAGTATAGTCCTGCGTTCAACATACAGAAGATGACGACAGTGTAAATACCCACGGCGATCCATCTGGGTCTGTGTCCTTTGCCCACGTAGTAGCTGAACACCGTCAGAACGAAGATCTGGCTTATGTCATTACCTACGCTGATTATACCTGAGAAAAAAAATGATATTAATGAATTAAATTATGAATGAGACATAAAATTAAGGACGAAATGCCTTCAAAATTCGAGCGCTCTTATGATATTCCGCCTACTCCCAAATTATTATTCTAAATAAGATTAAATTGAATCGAAAAAGCATCAAATTTTCTATTTATGATATTTACAACAGTATTAGAAATAAAAATATATTCAGTAAATGTGAACCACTCGTTAAGAAACTACGCAATGGAACCACTCTAAAAATGTATTAAAGATAGGAGATCTCGAGGTCATCTTCTTTGCAGACGCCTCGGAGGGTTATCAGGGATCGAAGAGGAAGCAAGGTTAGAAACGAGAGGGTTTGGATGGTTCTGAAGTTTGTTATGGTAGGATAATTATCTGGTTTGGGTCAGGTCAGAAACATAAGATCGTTATAGATGATTTTATTTATGACAAAGTAAGGAGCATTGAGGATTTTAGATTGGAAGGATTGGATATTAGAGGAATTCTATGGCTTAGTGGAGCCAAAAAGCTCAACTCAAAGTCCAAATATTTAAAAAACGTCCAGGCTTGATATGTCAAAATATCGATTATTTTTGTCAGAATCTAGAACAACCAGTAAAATATTTCTTCATGAACAAGAGCAAACCTAGTATTAAAATTGTGACAAATATTTAATTTAATGATTTACATAATAATTGTGATAATTTTAAATACGTTTTTACATAATTGGCACCAGAAAGGATATAAATATAGAATGAATACAAATATTGTAATCTGTGCTTGTGTATTATTTAAACTAGATCACGGTGAATGGAGGCTGCACCGTCGCATTTAGCTTATTGTATAACTCTATACACAGAATGAACAAGGTTTTTTTATGATAAGGGTTATTTACGAAACAATTCCTCGTAGTGAACTTTAAATATTTACTTAAAAAAAAATAAATAAATCGTTTTATTTCGTCTTGAAGTGATATGAATCTTTGTTGTGCTGATTCCATTTAATTAAGTATTTTAAATTAAATATACATTCGGTATATGACTTACAGCAGTTCAGTCCCTTTTTCTCTTCTATTTCTTAACCGATTTTTTTTTCTTCAGTAGCTATTGACGAGCTTTACTGTTATCAATAAAACAATTTTAGAAACAGCGTATATAAATTCAAATGCGAAGGTTAGTTTATTGAAACTGATAAAGAGACATTATTTTGTCACCTATTGCTTTGAAATTTTGTTAAAATGTTGCAATCAAATTCAGAAGCGCTTTGTAACGATTACATTTTTCCCAAAAATAAATCCTGCATTACCTACTAAATGAAAAATAAAAAATGATCTAATTCGAATATAATAATGTCTGATAGGATTTTGTTAGATTTTTTCTCTTTATACTTTCTAGGAGAGCCCTATTATGACAACTTCATATTTGGAATAAAACTATTACAATATAATACAATAGGGGGTTTAATGATTTTTTTAAGGAGAAACCAAATGGAGATTGGAATTTAGCACGTGGAAAACCTCTCAAATAGACATTTTCATAGCAATCAAAACATAAACACTTTTTGCCTCAAAATTGAACCAAATGAGCAAAGTGGGTTCGAGTCTTTTTTGAAAAAAATAACGATGGTTTCTCATTTTTATTTTAGAATTACTCAAAAAGTACATAATTGGTACAGCACTATTTTCTTTGATAAGTCTATATAAAAGTGAAAGTAAGAGTAAGAAAAAGACTGTTGAGAACATGTAAATTTATTTTTATTTTCCTCAAATGTTCATTAAGGATTAAAATCGAATTTCGACCACTTGGTGACCACTAGTACTAAAAATATATATAATTTATAAAGACCAAGTTTCTCTTCATATCTATATAACTTCATAACTTCACAACTACGTTGCATCCTTTCTATGATTATTCATAAAAATGTATGAATGATAAAAATGATGTCTCTTGTCATTTCAGTTAATAACATCTGTAATGATCTGGAAAAATGAATTTTTCTGTCGAGTTTATTGCTCGATTTTCTCCCTCTATCAAGAAATCACCCATTGATTCGCCATGGTTTATTAATTAAAACAAAAGATCGAGTGATTTCGAAATGAGGGGCGTTTACCATAATTAGGAGAGCTTGTTTACAGAGTCTAGAAAAAATGTTTTGAACAATGATTCTCATCAAAATTGTTGTCTTAGCTCCAGCTTTAGATTTTTTTTTTTAACAGAATAATTGTGATCTAATATGACTCCACGCATCCACACGACAATGTGTAGAGAATTATGGCTATATAAACCACACAGAGTGAAATTAACCAGACCTCCGTAAATAAATTAGATATGGAGATATTAAATAAAAACGTTTGAGGAGTTGAGGCTTCGATACCACATGACGTAATCGTGTCTTCACTTTAGGCGCCAGAACTTAGACCGGAGATTTTAAGCCTACTCAATATTTTTTGAAGAACTTAAATTTTTGAGAAATACCTTCTTATTCAATAAAAACCGTGACCACATTAAAAAACCCGAAATCGGTCTTAACTTCTTGTCCGTTCACAATCGGCCTAAGTATCAAATGTACTATTTTGTTCGACATTTTGTCTGGAATAGCCCTCCAGAATTTGGCCATTAACAACTAAGAAACCCTATATAGTTGCATCAAGTCGTCAACAAAGATAGCATTTCGCCAAACTGGTATGAATGGTAGTTATCAGAATGAAATATAACAGGGGTAAGTAAATATTTACTGGCGTATCAACAAACTGAATGGAAAGTAAATACAATAAAACTGTTGCGTGTGGGGTTTGCCTCGTATTCTATTTGTTAACACAGGGTATTTGTTTAACTGGGTATTTAAAATGTCCGAGATTCAAAACGCAAAACGTTTAGGAATCACCAATCGTAAAAAAGATGCATAGTCATAACTTTTACTAATCTTAACATTTTTTTATTTTTATTTTAATGAAATTTACAACTGTATTACATGAAAAATACAACAAGTAAATGTGACATTGGTAACATGACATGTACAACATGAAGAGAAACTACCCATTGGTAGAACTCAAATTAAAGTTATATATTAGAAGGTACCAAGGCCATCTTCTTTTCGACGCCTCGGAGGGTTATCAGGGATCGAGGAGGTTTGAAACGAGAGGGTTCGGATGGTTCTGTAGTTTTGTTATGGAAGGATAGGTATCTGGATTGGGCCAAATTGGAAACATATGGAACATTAAGGTCTTTCATGGATGATTTTATTTGTGACAAAGTAAGGAGCGTTGAGGAATTTGCAAAGCTCAAGTCCAAATAGGTCTCATTATCGTCATATATACGAGTCGCTTGTAATTGATTGAAAGCTTAGAGCGTTTGTCTAGTAAGTGCTGCAGTAGTCGAAAAATTATAATATAAATTTGATCACGTTATTATCCTTCAACAGTTCCTGCAGTTCTACATCAAAATAACGATTATGAAAATCGCAAATTTCACATCCTATAGAAAGTGGAAATTTATTTTTAGGAGATAAATAGATCTTCAGTTCTTTAGGGCGTTTAAGTAGCAAAATCTAATGCGCATAATTAGAATATTTGTGAAATGCCAGCATTTTTTATAGTAATATGGAGGAGTGCGGTAAACAAAAACTGATTTTAATTACTAAATTTAATTCATCTTATCCTTCAATGTTTACAGAACGTGATAAATCCAAATCATCTTTTGCACTAAATGTTTCGTTTGTAGTGACTAAAACATTACCTCAGATTAGATTATCCGGCAATTATGAAATTAAATTTACGTTAAACAATAGAGATTATAATTTCATGTCAGAAGAAAACCGCACTCCATGAAATTTTAATGAATTAAGAGACTTTTTCTATGATTTTCCCGATTTCTAATTAATTTCGTACAGTTTCTCACTAGTTTCCTTTGAACTCGACTTAGTATTGTTTGGTTTTTTTTCAGTTTAGGACGTGAAGATGAGAGCAATAAACTCTCGAAACTTCGCCAAAACGAAGTTGTTTATTTATTGTCATGACCTCAATAACCTATTAAAAATATATACTTTTGTTGATTTTATCGTTTCATTGCGCGACATCCAGCGGCATCCATTATTCCGATATGTAACTTTGTAGTCTGCTTCTTTGTGATATTATAAATACCCGGTTAAAGCTTCGTAATGGCTTCATCACACAGTAACCTACAAATTTTTTATCAACACAACTTCTTACAAATGGGACATTTTCTCATTTAATTTATTGATTTAACGAGACACTAAAAGCTAATAAATACCCGTTTACTTCCCACTTGAATCATATGATAATTTAATCAATAAATCAAGGAAAAAGGTGGCCTACAAAAACATTTAGGCATTTGCCCTATATAACCTCATTATTTTGACATGTTGGGGTGAAGGTCACATTATTAACGTCACATTATCGAATTATTAACATCCGCCTAAAACTATATATATATATATATATATATAATATAAGTAAATATCAGAAGAAAATATGACTTGAGTGAAGTACTTCTGCTGATCTCGTTTTTCCCCCTTCTTTTTATAGTGAAAATGAATTATTTTCTTCTTTAGGAGCGTTTTTTACTTTCTTTTTTGGAGAGTGAATTAGATTGAGCCGTCACATTTTTGATGTGTAACGCTCGGGTAAAGTTTGCTGGAGTCGACCAATTGAAATGTTTTTGGATATAAATTGTTTCATTTCGTAATTTTCTTCGATTTTGATGATTTTTTTTTTTATCAGTTTGTAACGAATTAAGGAAGCTTTCAAATAATGGTGGTAGTAATCAAACAAAAATTGTCTACTTTTTGAGTTATTAGAAAATATAGTTTGGAACCTATCGTAATTTTGTTTTCATACTCTCTTCGGGAAGGTTGTTATATACATAAATTAAAAGGGTTTCAAGGAGATGGCTTTAGCTAAGTTTAATTAAAATCGTCACAGTCGTTTAGGCGCTACAGTCTATAACGACACAGGTTTTTCCGCCGCCTTTCCGAAACGAAAGACCTGAGGGTGATTAAATGTTTAGAAAAACACTCCTGAATGCGATAGAAACATAATGCCAATATTTCAAAGTAACTTAGAGGTTTTGAACAAACCAACATTTACGTTTTTATTAATATAGATATGGATTAAAATATCTCAGAAACTAAAAATGGAATCTGTATATTGTATGCGAGGAAAATGTTTATCATTTCCTACTCTTTATAATGAGATATTATTTAAAAATGTATATTTCATATTATTAATCTCGTGTTGTTGATGTTTTTTTCAATTCTATCGTGTAGTCTAAAGTACCTTTGTTTTTGAAGCGAAAACATTTTTAGGCGCGTTTCTCATTTTTTTGGTTTATTATTTTCAATAACCAACCATTGTGATCGACCAAAAAATTCAAAAACTTAACGCCCTCTCAAAATTTGAGGTTTCACGTTTCAGGATGCAGAGAATTCGAAAAACGAATAAAAACTGTTTGTTCGTCCGCCGTCCGCCGTCCGCGCATTTTCTCCGAAACTACTGGACCGATTTTTTTTTTTCAAATTTTGATATAAAATTAGAGGTCACCCGAGGATGATCCTCCTTCATCGACATTACTCTCCGCCTTTAACTTTCAAAAGTGGCGGCCGAAAAACCTGCGTTGCTATAGACTGTAGCTCCTAAAAGAATGAACAGATTTCAATGAAACCTCGCTAAAGTCATTTTCTTGACGCTCTTTAAATTTATCTATATAACATACTTCAACGAAAGGAAGCTGAAAAAAATTTACGAGGGATGATAAAATTAAATTCCGAATAACTCGAAAAGTTTATACTTTTTTGTTGATATTGTATATAGTTTTTTAAAAGTTTTCCTAAAAAAAAAAAAAAAAAAAAAAACCGGACAATTAGGAGCAAAGATATGGCCTCCGGTTTTTTAATATGTTCTGCTCCAAATGTTATATCCTTGGTTTGGTTTTTAAATTTTGAATGTGCTACTGAAGTAATGCTATTTTTTTTTTTTGCATATTATTAATGATTAAAAAAAAAGAAGTTTAGTCCAATAATTGGACTCACCTTTTGTTTATTTTTCTTTGTAACTCGGAAGGTAATGTTACTTTAGATGTATAATTGTTTGGAAATAATAAACCATTGTGAACTAATTTGCAGCGTTTTTTAATATGCAGAGACCCTAGAGGTAAAGGGGTATAAGTGCATTTTTATAAAAAAAATTAGTTAATAGAGTTAAACCCATAAAAAGCTATTTAGATAGCTTAAATTGTGCTTGGTTATAAACGCTATAAATTGAGATTATAATAACGCTACAAATTGGATATATAGGCAATAATCAGAGAGAAAACAATTAATGAAAAAATATCAAAATTATAAAATATTATACTATCGAAATTACTCGTGATTTTCCGAAAGAAATGCAATGATTGAAGACTTTCTTTAGAAATATTCGAATGAGGTATTCTCCGAAAACGCTTATACTATAGTAAGTATAATATTGAAGAGAGTGGACTCACCCATGGTTTGGCTGGGAATCCTGAACCTCTTCTCCATGGTCGTGAAGATACCCCCGGCGTAGGAATAGGAGGCGGTGAACATGCACCCCAACATGCCGTAGAGGAGCACGTAGGCCTTGTAGTTTGCGAACCTCTGGATCCAGGCCCCCTTGAAGCACCATATCCCGCAAGTCGTCTCCTTCGAGGGCTTGTCCCTCAGCATGCCTTCCGCCTCCATCCCTTCGCGTTCCATCTCTGTCGGCTCGATAGTCGGCTAAGGTCCTGCCCCTATATATCTACCTCACTCCTCCCCTCCCGGTTCATCCTTATCGCGGTCCTGTCTTCGTCCTGAAAATTTATAACTTTATTATTTATTTTATATTTTTTTTTTGTCTTACAAAAAGTGAGAATTTACTAACCGACTGCTATGTTCTTTCACAATTCTTTAACTTAGGCTTACCGTGTTGAATCATCAATGAATATTCCACACTGAATGTAGTTACGGGTCATCTCTATCTAGCTGTAGTTTCCAATAGTTATTGGATTTTGTTTCCAACCATTTAATTTTGTAATTGAATGATTATAGAAGGAAAAAAAAAATCCCCTTTAAATAACAACAATGTACAATTTAATGAAAATTTTTAACTTTTACTATTATATTTATAACTGTATTAGTATGAATATATCAAGTAAATGTGTACAGAGGAATATAATCACATGAAACACGCTTGTTGAGAAACTACCCACTGGAAGCACTCTAATAATTTGTCTACATGAGGAGATCACGAGGCCATCTTCTTTTTCAGACGCCTCGGTGGGCTATCAGGAATCGAAGAGGAAGCAAGGTTAGGTACAAAAGGAATCGGATGGTCATGAAGTTTATTATGGAAGGATAGGTTTCTGGATTTGGCCAAATCGGAAACATATGGAACATTGAGGATTATTTTATTTGTGACAAAGTAAGGAGCATTGAGGATTTTACGAAGGATTTTGGATTGTAAAGATTGGATACGAGAGGAATTTGATGGTTTAGTGGAGCCCCATAGCTCAACCCCATTAGTCCAAATAGGCCTTATTATAGTCATGTAAATGACTCGTTTGTAATTAGTTGGAAGTTTAGAGCGTTTTTCTAGTAAGTCTTGGAGTAAGCGGAAACGTCGAGCAGTTTCTTGTCGTTTCAGTCTGGTATGAGGATTCCAAGTTAGACGTTTGTCCAGATGGAGTCCTAGGTAACTAGGTAGATTTGTTCAACAGAAATAAGTGAGGTGTTGTTAAAGGATACTGAAGAACAGGAAGTCATTGGTTTACGACAAAGGGGGGAGGTAATTTGATGGGATTTATTGGAATTTATTTTAATTCTCCAGTTCTGACACCATTCTTCAAGGTTTATGATGTGGGATTGAAGGGTTTGGGATGCAATAGATGGGTCGTTATTAACTGATAGGATACATGTGTCATCAGCGTATGTGATGATGGCAGTGTTGGGATGGGTTGGGATGTCAGCTTTATAAACTGTGTAAAGGATAGGACCTAGGATACTACGTTGAGGAACACCTGCAGACTGGGAAAAGCGGGATGTATAGACATTGTTGTGATTTACTTTAAAGTATCTATCAGTAAGGTAGGAACGGATAATGAGGAAGTATGTAGATGGTAGGAATTTTCAGAGTTTGTACAGCAGTCCCGGGTGCCAAACTCTATCAAACGCCTGTTCAACGTCGAGAAAGACTCACAGAAATAAATAAATATAAATATAAAAAGTAAATAAATGATTCTGATGAAGTAAGTAAGTAAAAAAAAAAAGTAAACAAATAACATAAAATAGAAACTTCTAAACAAAATCATACCTATATACAGTATATACATTCGCCCAGGAATCTCCGATCCAGGCTTTTCCCCCACATGTGAAAGACAAAGCAAAATCCAGGAGATCCCAGTGCCACTTTTCCAGCCGCATCACTAGTATTAGAAGCCAGTGGAGACTGAAAGAGGGCACTAGAGCCACGGACGCTAAGAACATGAGTGGAGGCCATTGCCAGGACTCCAGAAGCATATTTACAAGAGATCTCTGGGTCACTGCCGTTTTAACCTTCGAGAAGGATTGTAGGGATGAAGGGAGCTGGATAGGGATTGAGCTAGAGGATTTGGATGATGGATAAGGTTCTGGTGAAAGTTTGATAATCTGGAAGGGATGATGTCGAGGACAAATGGGATGTTATGGTCATGGTGTAGGGTCTTATTTGTGACAGAATGTGGGGAATTGATTATTGTTCTAAGTACTTTGGATTGGAAGATTAGATGCGTTTGTTATTCGAATGTTTAGCAGTTCCCCACAGTTCAAGTCCGGAGGTCCAGATAGGTTTCAGTATGGTCTTCTAGATTAAAAGTTATTTTCAATCGAAAGATGAGATGTCCTACTTAGTAATCTATACAGCTGGCCATATCGTCGGTTAAGTTTTTGTCTTTTAAGTCTGGTATGTGGGTTCCAAGTTAGTCTTTTGTCTAGAAGGAAGCCAAGGTAACGGACTGTGTCTGAGTGGGGAAGTGGAATTGAATTAAAAAGGATTCGCGAACAGGATCTGCGGCCTTAGAATAACTACAATGTAAAATTTAATGATTAGGCATTAGAAATAATTAGGAATAAATTAAATTACAAGGTTAACTAGATCTAAAATTAAAAATAAAAACAAAGAAAAGACACTAGTAAACATATGAAATTATAGATAAATTCTGATTTACGAGTTCACATATTTGTACACATTAATAATATGGACGATATATAATTATCTGTAGGATAACTTTAAATGCAGCTGACAGGTCTGAAAAACGTGAACATTAAATTCTGTAATGATAAATAAATTATGTTTAAATGAGGTCTGGGATGAGGATTTGCGCATGGAGGTTAGTAGAGAATTCCAAAACAAGGTAGCACGCATGAAAAAGGATTTTTTAAAGAATAAATTTCTATGAGAAGAAATAAACAGATTTGGGTGCTAAGACTCGTGTTGAACGAATGGACAGAGGGACAAGGAGTAAACAAATCGAGATTTTAATAAGGTTTCTTAGTTGAAAAGGTTCGAAAAAAGAATACACCTAAGAAGTATTGCCATCGGAAGACTAGATAGAGCCACTTTAAATTGGCATACCAACTGGAGAAGTGGGAGCGCCTGGAGACTCCAAAGGTAAATCTAATGAAACAATTCATTAGTCTCTTTAATCTAATCTCAAGCCCACCAGACAGTCCACCGTATACAAGGCAGCCATAATAGAAATGGGGAAAATGAGTGATGAAACTAGGAGCTGACAGAGTTTAAGGAGCATGGAATCATGGACATTGGAATCAATCAACATTCAGGTTTAGATCGTTGCAAACTGCCTAAGTGTTGATACTATGAATGTCTTCTTGAACCCTTTGGATCGCCACAAGCCACTAGCGGATCCAGGATTTAATTTTTTGGGGGGAAGGGCTTCAGCCCGAAACCCGTTTTTTCATAAAAATGACGATATTTACTTCGGAAAAAAAGAAAGAAACTAGCTATCTATATGAAATGGTATTTAAGTGATTCCTTAAGTCCTTTTAAATGCAATTACACGAACAATAATACTTTAAGAGATATTTTTTAAATATTTTTTTCCATGGTATACATTCCATGGTAAACATGGTTATATTTTACCATTTTGGGGGGGGGGGGGCTTCAGCCCGAAAGCCCCCTCCCCCCGTAGATCCGCCCGTGCCTCAAGCATCTTGGTAGGATGAAAGGAAAGGGATATTTGGAGATCGTCAGTATATAAGTGATATTGTGAATTGTGACCTACACCTCCAAAATGTCAAAATAACGAGGTTTTATAAGACAAACAGCGAAATATTTTTGGAGACCACCTTTTTCTCGATTTCGTGATCAAATTATCTTACGATAATAAAACAAATGAGAATATACCAGTTCTTAGTACCTAATTAAATAGACAAAGTTTGCCGACCTCCTGATCGAAAACGCCCCAATTATGAGAATTTTCATAAATAAAATAGTTGTATTTTACGATGAGATGAAACTATTCACGATGTTTCAGACGAATGTTAATAATTTGATAAAAAGGGGTCTGTACCACGAACTATTAGAAACAGTTTCTAATTGTGCTCTTGTCAAGAAAAATGGACATTCAAGCGATATCCAATATAGATTTTAATTTGATAAAAGTATATATTGGTACATTTTAGATTTTATCAAATTAAAATCAATATTGGTTCATTTAGGTACCAACCTCTATACAATTTCTGAATGTTTTTATTAGCAATATTATATATCCATCAATTGAATTAAACGACAGAAAGGCATATAGCTAAAAAAATTAACACCTCAGAAAGTACTGTTACAGAGATGCCCAGAAGAGGTAAACTTAAGTTAGTCGTTAAGAGATCACATTTTTACGAATTAATACTATTTTATAGAGCTTTCTCGTTCCACGTGACGCTTTTGAGAGAGTTGCGTTGGGGTTTCCATGAGTCCTGATATTTCTTTTATAGTCGGAGTTCTCTCGCTTGGTAGTAATTAGTGTATATAGGTATGTCTGTATTTTTTATTTATTTTACTCAAATATACAGAAGTTATTTTATTTTTGTTTATTGTATACACTTTTTAATTATTATTTTGCTTCTGTTTTTATTTTATATTTTCTGTATATAAATGTGAATGTAATCTTACCTCACTATAATTATTGTCCAACTAACAGGCTTTTTTTATTACTCAATAAATAATTAAGAAAAACAATTTTAGATATTTCAATTTTAAGGTTGACCTGGTTGGACCCATTTATATCTTACGTTTATCGATATTTATATACTATGACATCGCTAGGATGTATGTATGTCAATTGCTGGAATATATGCATATATATGGTTGTTGCAATAAATTTATATACTTAATTGATACCATATCTGTATTTAAGGCATATATGTCCATTAAGGTATGATTGACAGTATACGATATGATGGGATGAGTCCATAGATGTCGTACTTAAAATTTATGACAAAAAATACAAAAGAGGATTAATTATAATGGTTAAGGTGATGTCGGTAAGAGTTGGTTACGTGGTTATAGCTGTTCAAGGACATTCAGAAGATGAAGTTTGGTCCAGGCTCCAAAGTCGAAATATCTTCCTCATATTTAGGTCCTAGAACCGGAATTTAAACCCTTCTACCCTATCAAGCCCATTCACCTGGTAATCTTGAAAAAAAAATTACATCTGATAATAGCT